CTGACCTCACATCTCTTTCCATTAACTCTCCTAAATCCTTCCACCCACCCCCGTCTCAGCGACGCCATCCTTTTCACACAGCTTCTCAAATCCTCCTGAATGCTGTTTACTTAAACTCTCAGTAAGTGGAACCTGAACCACCAGTGGACAGCTGGCCAAAAGGCACATCCCATACAGCTGTGGTCCTCCTCTGTGGCTGCTAGCCGCTAGCCACCGCTACCTGCCACTGAGGCTGTTTGTCCTGATGTCTTCATGAGCGTTCTGAAGCTAACGGGATGATACCAAACAGAAATCAGCCGAGCCAGAGTGTGGTGAAGCACTTCATCTGTCTCTGATCTCATATTAATGAGCATACGTCGGCCTGTTGTCCCGGTTTGAAGGACTCTCCTGCTGACATGTAACACTGCTGTTTAATTGTGGATTTCAAATTAGTGGTCCCTTCAGAGGGCCAGCTTGGCCCAATCAGGCCCAGGACCCTGAAGCGGTCCCGGCTCCATGGAGGTACCCAGTCTGCTGCCCTGGACAGCAAATTAGTGAAAGACTGCATGAGACTGTCAGTCCAGTGACAAAGGTTGATTCTGGGAGTCCGTTTCCTCTTCCAGCAGCTGAAGGCTGAAGCTGAAGGCGTTCTTCACAGTTCGTAGGCTTTCTGTGTAGAACTGATTCAGAGCCGGTGCCTATTTTTAGAGCTCATACTGCGGTTGTGGCGGAGCTAAGTTCTCGTGACTGTACCCGATGGTCCTCCTGTGGTCAGAGTGGTTTCTGATGCTCTGCTGATTAGCGTCGTCGTCTCTTCCTGTGTCCAGCTGCAGTCTGTGGGCTGGAGCCTGGAGGGGTCAGTGCTGGAAGTCCTCTAAGTCAGGACAGGCTCCTGAGGCTTCATTATGGCACGGCATCATCGATGGCCTGAGCCTCCTTCTGACCAAGGCTGCAAGGACGAGCAGAACCAATGATTTTAATTGTGTGTTTGCTCTGCTGCTTTCTGTTCTGGTGATAGAGGAAGTAGGACTGTCAATAAGCGAGAGTCTATTTTTGCAGCCGTTTGCTGTGTTTGCAGCTGAATCTGAATCCAAATGTTGTCCTCCGGTCTTTTATTTTCCTTTTTTGTTTGCACTCTCTCGAAAAAGAGCTCTGTTGTTGGTTTTGGTGGATTTTGCTCGGCTGTAGTCGTGATGAGAGAAACACACATGTTGTGCTGTGGATCTTCAGCCTCTCTCCTCTTCCTCCCCCACATGCTGACGGAGGTACAGTCCTGTGCATTCACTCACAGCGACAGAGCGTGTGAAGGATTTCAGAAGCTCAGTGGATTTTTCGATAACCACAAATCAAAGCAGAGAGGTGAAGGCCCAAACACAGGGGAGGGCGCTGTGGCGGGATGAGCAGAGCTGCTGTCTAAAAGCCAGTCCAGCACTTAACAATGGGAGCTAATAAGATTTGGCTGTCAGGTATTGTTCAGTTGTTTCCTTCTGCAATAAATCAGAAAGTACTTTTATCATGAAAGAACAGCAGCACATTGGCTTTAGCTGGCTGTGAGTCACCCTAAACACAATGTCACTAATTAGCAATTTAACAGCAGCACTCTGAGGCATTATGTAAAGATCACCGCCTCTTATTTTTAGTTCAGCATCCCTTACGACTGATTTATCTCGTGACAAACAATGAATAGGAGTTCATTCCAAATGTGTTCTGTGATGAATGAACACAAAGCAGCTCGTTGCTCAGGCTAATACTCGCTCGATAACAGTGTTGAGGGAAAAAAAAACCTGATTAAAGCGTCCATGAGAGCCAGAATGAGATCAGAAAAGTGTAAGCGTTTGTTCAGACAGACTTGGCCTCTGGCTTCACTATCAGACCAGGAGGCAGCGCGTCATGTGTAGACAGCTTGATGTGTTTTAAGCGAGGATTTAAACACAGAGAAGCTTTGATCCAAGTCCTGCCCTCCACAAGTGTCCGGACTGCGCTGGAGGTGTGTTTCATGTTGATAATGTGGAACAAAGCTTCAGGTTTCTAACAAAAGACATTTAAAAGGTTTCACTAATCACCTTTTCACCTGACAGCAGCAGGTGTAGACCCTTAAAACGGGCTCACAGCAACGCCTGCTCACGTTGGGGTTTCTGATCCTCAGTCATCTTTAATGACCGTCTCCTCTGTTTATCTGCTCTTTTGGGCCGTTTTTTGTTTTCCAAATGTAGTCAAAAGAGATGAAATGCTGTCAGCTGGAGGAAAGTTGGCAGCTGTGCCTGCTGGGAATTATTAACTGGTAGTAAGTGTGACAGGAGGGTTTATGGACGTATATGATGCTCATTCTGCAGCAGGTTCTACCTCCTGTTGTGTCGATGACAAGGCGCTGTTGTGTAGTTTCTATCAGGGCTGTTGAAGTGAGCAGAGACTGGTGCATGTGGTTTGCATCCGGTGGTGGGAGTTACTCAGCAAGACAGAGCAGGACGTGAAAGATGGCTGCTGTATTGATTATCTTAGCTGATGGATCACTAGTGTGCCGGATGATGCATGCCTGTATTGATCACGGCACCTTGCATTGCACACTAGTCAATAAATGTGGAGATTTTCAGACGTAGATAAATCAACAGTCAACAAAGAACTTTAATGACAAGAAATCAGTGGTCACACGGAGTCACTAACCGTGAACGTCTGTGGCAGCGAAGAACAACTTCAGTAATCTGTAGGATGAAGGTGGATGTAATAAATGTGTGATTTCTGTAACCTTGGATGTTGTTCGGTGTGTCTAAGTGGGACGCTGATGGCATGTTACCGAGCCGGGCCTGTCATGTGGGCTCAGCATCGATCAGCCGGCTGACACTGTATCTGGACGGCTGAGCTCCCGTCTCCGGCCTCTCTCACTTCTCAGTACGCTCCTCGTGTCACGACTCCGGGGCCCCGGAGCAGCGCAGCGTGAATTGTGGCATCACGTTTCCATGGCGGTGGTGCTGAGCGCATGGACCATATCCTGAGCTAAAGGGACATCAGGTCAGACTTCTGGTTTCATGCTCAACTGCTCTGTCAAAATGAGCAGACAGAGATGGTGGAGGGAGCAGCCTGAACCTGTTCCCATCACCCTGACCACAGCAGCAGACGTAGTCCTACAAAGATGTAAAGAATCTGTCCGGCCGGGGGCCTCGTGTCCACAGACGTGTTGGTAGCTTCACGCTAGGACGTCTCTTTAAGCTGCTCAGTCTCTGTCTTGGTGGAAGCAGCGTTCAGAAGGTCCTTCTGAGCTCAGCCTGTCTGTTTTCCACACAGTGTAAAACTGAAATCAGATTTCAGTTCAATTAAAGCACCTTTCCCCTCAGGGTTCTATTTCAGTCCAGGAGAGCAAAAGGTCAGAGCTCCAAGAATAGGGCTGTCAGTTAGCAGCAGCCTGTTAGCTGGATTCCTCTGATGGAGGTCGCTTCTTCCACTGCTTTGCTCCACATGTCTGCTCCTGATGGCACCTCTTTTAATTATCTCCTTGGCACGCTAGCTGGTCCATTCAGATAAGCTTCAGTATTATATTACTGGGAGCGAGTGTCTCATCTGCTGCCTCGTCAGTCTGCAGCCGCTGTTGCATCGAGCCGCGGCGGTGTTTACTTACAACCTCCAACCAGCATCATATTTTTGTTGTTGTCTCTTACGTGCACCGGCTCACTTCACCGAGGAGCAGCTCTTATTCTATTAGGCAATAATAACACATGAGACAGGAGATCAGGATGAGTTTAATGCCACAGTTTTATTTCTCCACCTTTTTCTGAATCAGGCAGAATTTCCTTGGTTGAAGACTTGATGACAGAAATGTGGCTGTAGAGACCCGGGCCAGCCTCAGCCACGTCTGACACGCCTGTCTATATGTATATTGTCACAGATAAAGTTACGTAATAAATATTTCATGGGCAGTTGAGTGAACCCACGTGAGAGTCCCCGTTTCTGGGGCCAGAGGCTACAGCGAAGTCCTGACCACTGAGCTTTCAGCCGCCCCCTGTTCTCATGGCAGAATAAACTAAATGAATCCACACTGCAGGGCAGCAGACGGACAAAGATGAGCACACAAGACGTTCTTTCCTTTCTTAGCAGAGTGACTGTAAACACACAGATTTCAATGCTGAGCTCACTCACGCTGCTGTGGCTCTCCCTCAGAGCTCCTCTTCATATCCCTCCCACCACAGTCCCTCCTCCTCCACAGTCCCTCCTCCTCCTCCTCCTCCCATCGCTCTCTCCTCCCACCTCCTGCCCGTGTGCACCGTGCTGCTCTGTGCTGTACAGATGTAAGTTTAATCCAGGCAACAGTCAGAGCTGAGAAGTGACAGTGAGGTTGCCCTCTCACTAGCAGGCAGCAGTAGTCTGTAGGAGACGCAGCAGCTGTACGAGGACCTACGAGGGAGATGAACACCTCCTGGAACTGTGTGTCGTCTTTCATTCTCTCCATCTCTTTGTGTGGATCTTTGCTTTGCCACCCTTAAAGCTTGGCAGCAGAGGTGTTATCTCCAGCTCTGAGCTCAGCTTTACAAGGAAATTGCAAGACTCTGAATATGGCTGACAGCTTCTGATGAGCCTCTGATTAATAGAGAGCGAGAGGAGGACGCCCAGATGAACCGAAGAAGAACCCACTGAGGAAATTCTCTGTTTTAGATTTTACTTGTTGTTTCCTCCTCGGCGTTGTGTTGCTGTGTGAAGTCTGCACTGATTGCGGATTTGTTTGTCGTGCAGCAGAGAGGCTGTGATGTGCCGCTTGGATTTGGACTTCCTTTGACAGGATTTTGTTTTCAGCTGATCAGCGATCCGTCACTGTTTGCACACATTCTGATCTGGCCTCCCACCCCTCTGCCCTTCTTCTTCTTCTTCTTCTTTTTTTATTGCTCTAGCAGAGCATTGTGAGCCGGTCAGCCTCTTCAGAGCCTGAGCAGTGATTTTAAGACGCAGTGTGAGGCTTGATCTGGAGTAACGGCATCTCTTGGACTAAACTGTGTCACGCGTTTGGATGCTCTAGGAGTTCGCCTTACCTGTTTATTCCACAGCAGAGTTTAATTACAGAACCTGCGATCGGGACAGTCGGCCAGAAGGCAGGATGCAGGTTTCATTAGTGTGCACGGACCACCGTGGGGGGGTTAGCCGCAACACGGAGGACCGGCTCAACCGCCAGAACGCCAACAGCCCCAACACAGGCACCCGCAGCAAGTTCAGAGCAGTGGCCATGGTCGCTCGCAGTCTGGGACAGCTGTCCGTTCAGAGCGTGCCTTCCTCCAGCGAGCAAAGCATGAAGACGGGCATGAAGTATAGGTAGGAGCTGTCTGACTGCAGCTTCACGTCTGGCCGCAGCTTTAACACATCCACCATTTAAATGGCCTCGTTTAGTTTAGCTGTTCTGAGTCATAACCATCACATTGTTTTGCTAAAACACAAAGCAGAGAAATGAAACCTGCTGTGCTGGTTTATCTTCCTTATTCCTTCCTGTCCAAACAGCCACCTGTTCAGATGGACGAGGGTTAAAGAAGTTCTTCATTCTGACAGTAACCTGCCTTTTAAACTTCCCCAAACCTTTGCCTTCCGTCCAGCAGCGAGGAAAGCTTTGACCTGTTATCTGGTTTGTATTTGTAATTGCGTTTTCGGGCTAAGTGGTTGCTGTGTCGTTTCAGTTTAGTCATGGCCACTGATGTCAGATCTGTTTTGTGCAGACGTGACATGAACGAGCCCTGAAACGAAGCTCAGCAAGCCGCCTTTGTTCAGTTTGGTGGAAACGCAGTCATGTTTTCTAAGATTAGTCTCCTTATTGGAAAATTCCTCCCCTGATCCGTTTCCCTTTAAAAGATCATATTTTATCTCATACTGTGGTTTTATAATGATTATTATCACTACAGGTACTTTTGAACTTTCACTTGAAATAATCAGATCAATCATATTTTCCAGTCGTTGAATTAAAAGTCAGTCGTCAACGCTTTTTGTTAAACAGCATCTCTGATGTGCATAACGGGCTTAACGAGGGTTCTGCCTCCAACACTGTGTGCTGATATGATGCCGCATTGATTGTTTTATTGCAGCCCTTCAGTCAGCTGATTACTAATTACTGCTCAGTGGTCGTATTTACAGTTCTGATGCTTTGGTTCTGATGTGGTGCCTAAAAGCTCCCGTGTTTTATTGAAGGGGAATTATTCAGCCTGCGTCAGTCTGTGAGCAGGAACCTCGGTGACGGTTTTATCCAACACAGCCCATATTTAACATTTAGGGGAAGAAATGCTTTTATTTCAGAATGCTAATGTCTCCTTCTGTGTGTGGTGAATTATTCAAATGAGTCCAGCCTTCACACAAAGACATGTAAGAATTATGATGAAGTGGAATATCTCTAAATGCATATGAAAGCACTGAGGGCAGAGGAGCAAATGGCAACCGAGCAGAACAGAAAATCCACGAGCAGTCTTAGTGAGAGAATGAGTTCACCTTCCTGGTCGGCACCGTGAGCTACAGAACGTTTGGATCTGCTGCAGGCTGCTCATCAGCGCAGGGGTTCTGTCCAACCCAAGACAGGGTTTGATGTCAGATACTCATTTAAAGGGCAGAAAACAGAAAAGAAATATAAACGTTCTAGTAGGTTTTCAGCCATTCTCCAACCAGCAGCTGATGTTGTCTCTGATATAAAGTATTATTAATGTAAATTCTTCTGTTTCCAGCCTGCAGCACCAGCGTGCATTAATGTGAAGTAAATACTGTTATAATCCAAACATTTCATGCCTCAGTTTGATGTTTAGGATGATGCACAGACATTTCTCTGGTGGTGTCAAACCTGCTGCAGGACTTTCACAGCATGAATGTTAGTTTAAATTCAAACCCCATAAAAAGAACGTGTTGGTGTCGTAGGAACTTCATGAACATCAAAACTGCATTCGTTTAAATAGAGATTCTCAAACCCCAAATCTGAGCGTAAGTTAAAAACCAGCAGCCAAAGGGCAGCGCTGTGAACAACAACACGTTTTAGTTGTAAAGAATGAAATTAGCAGCAGGGTTGATTTGAGGAAACCCTCCTCGGCGCCGCTATCTGAAGGCGCATCACAGTCCTCTGCGTCTGACTGGCTGGCGGCCTCCTCGCCGTGTCGCCACTCTGTCATTATTGAGGCTAATGATATTGAATGACTAAAATCATTTTCAGCTCGGGGGCCAGCGGCTGTTTGTGTTCTCCGCTTCCGCAGCGCGGCCCAAAGTACATAACGGGCTCTGTGTTTGTGAACCGGGCTCGTATCTGATGTAAACTGAAGGTAATGCGGGCCTGAATGCAGCATGAGGCTCTGAGAGTCATGCACTGAGGCTACGACAGAGTGTTTGTGGTTTTGTTTTGAAGAGACGGGAATGAAAGGGAAGGAGGAGAGAGAGGCAGTGAAAGCGAAGACGGGGGATTGTTAAGGTTAATGCTGGTGCAGGCACTATGCCCAGAGGAAGTACAGTAGCTGCAGTGATCTGTGCTCGTGTCACTGCCGATCTCTCAGCTCTGCCTCTCACAGTTGAATCTTGCGAGCCTTTTAACATGGCCGCGCAGTCCTGTCCTCATCCTTGAGCATTTTTTATTTGCTCTGTTAAAGAGTGTTTGAATTTTTCATTTGGACTTTTTGACAGCTGAAAAGGTTAGCGGTTTCATAACCGTGCCCCAAAAGAATACAGCCAAACCGGTCCTATCCAGCAGCAGAACTTTCCCCCGATTATCCGCGCTGCAGCGTGGCGCCGTGCATTCAGCCTCGTTTGCATGCAGTGCTCTTGTGCTTCCCTGAATGACAGCCTCCAATCAGGATGCAGGTTCGGCTGGAAGTGACCTCTCCTCACGAGGCCGAGGAAAGCATCAAAGAGAACGTCTTCAAGGTCTGGAGAGATTGTGGGCCGCCTGTCGCTCTGTAATGTGACTCTGCCTCCGCCTGATACGACTGGTTGGAATCATCCACCTCTTCTAAGGAGTGATTAAATGCCTTCAGTCAGGACTGAATTAATGGTGCACACAAAATGGCTTGTGATTATGTAAAGTAGTCTCTCTGAGGGAGCGGCAGAATATCTGCAGGATTGGGCAGGCAGCACAGGTGAGGAGTGGATCCCATAAGAGTCCGCTATCAGCTCTCCTGTCAGTCAGCTGCTGGACTTTTATTTCTGGAGGTGGAGCAGATAAACCTCTGCAGTGATGCTGAGTGTGTGCGTATCCCCTTTCAGCCAGTTCTCTGCTGTCTGCAGACAAACTGTAAGAATTCACCTCAAACTGCTGCAGTGGGGCTTTAGGAGGACTCTGTGTTTTCAGAGCTCAGGATTGTTCTTTGCCACCATCAGCTGCAGACCCTGGTGCTGCTCGGTGTGTTTTACTGCAGAGAGCTGACTCACCTCCTCCCCTGGTGTAAATCTAGCAGTAACTCGCCTTAGTCCAGACTGTCAATAGGATTCCTGACATCTCTGGAGGTCCACTACTGGTTGTAAAGTTCACAGTGAATCACAGTAAACAGCTGCGGGCAGCGTTGTGTAAGCGGATGGCATTTAAATCCACCGCTGTGTTGTGTGAACTCGGCTCCTTGTCAGAGAACCGTCCCGTCGCCCACAGTTGTGTCTTTAGTGCACCTTGAAGTTAGTGGAGGTAACAGATGGCAGAAATAACAGGAGCAGGGAGTCAGAGATGCTTTCATTTCATCTGCTGTGTCTGCAGGATTGGAGTTAAACTGACGGCGCTCAGCTACGGCAGCGATTTCATCTGTCAGGGAATTTTTTAGTAATAACCAAACCGAGCGTTCTGCTTTTCCAGTATTTGGTTACACAAACGCAGAGCGGCGCTTCGCTCTGGCTCGGGCGACACAAGCTGTGGGTGTGAGATTCGGGGCGTCATGAGTGTGGGTGCATGCTGGGACGTCTTCCTGCTTTCTGAGGGAGCCAGCTCCATGTGAATCATAAATAGATGGTGGTACAGAGCGTACATACAACGGCACACTTTGGCCACTCAGAAGTCAATAATAAGACTTATATTTGCAGCCACTTAGGTACCGTCCTAAACGGGCTGACAACACGGGCCATCTGTTTGCTCTGGGCGTGGGGAGGAACAGCCAAACGGTGGGACGGTTCATGTATCGACGTAGGCTGGTGTTGCACCGTATGCACTGTGGGTTGGTCTGTGTGGGGGAGATGGGGGCTGTTGTGGAACACTTTCCTATGTGTCTATAAGCATGTCTGCATGTGAGAGACACACTGCTGCAGCGCTGAAGGAGAAAACCAAGACAGCTGTTCTTGCTTTGCCTCGCTGATGGAGTTTAATTAGAGTCTTCTCTCTGCACGGTGTTTTCTTAAATGCTCCAGAAATAGCTGAGATTTATTAATTCTGCTTTACGCTGCCAAGACGAACACGGCCTCGATTCACTCATATCTGTGTTACAGTCAGACGGCGGGCGTCGTTCATACTGTACCTGAATGTATCTGACCTGGATTCTGGACGTGTTTCCTGACAGGTTTGGTGTGATGGTGGCCTTGGTATAGATGCTGCTGTACACTGCAGATGTAGTTTGGCCTATAGATGCACAATGTGCTGCTCTGTTCTATACGAGGCTGTGGAGCGCTGAGCAGCATTTGAGCTGCGAGTTACGTAATGAGGCCCACGTGGTCCGTACTATAGCAGGAGACCAGAGCTGCAGCGCACACGGCATCGCGCTTAGTTCTGTGTACTGTGAATGTTTAACCTCAACATTTTCTTAATCAGACAGATGGCACCAGTTTGCTTTGACACAGCGCCCAGTGTAATATCCTCTCATCAGCCAGATCTCTGACAAGCTCATCGGGACATTTGGGCCTTTTGTGTCAGAAATTAGCTCGTTTGTGGTTTCAGTTACAGCAGCTATTTAAATACTGATTCGTTTGTGGATTATTCTCTCGATTAACTGATTGTTTTGTCTTTAGAAATGGACAAAACGAGTGCTTCGAATCATCGAAGGAGGCAAAAGCATGTTTGGGTTCACGAGGCAGGAATCAGAGGATTTTAAGCCTGACTAAATGATTAATTGATTAATGGCACAGTCGCTGCAGGTCCGTGTGTGAGTTTGTGTCTGACGGCTGTTTATACCTTTAAAGCTCTTTGGCCACTTTGTCCGTGTAATTCAGGGTTTATGAAGTCCATCCGGCCCGTGTGCTGTCAGTGAACACGCTGCTGTCCGTGTCCTTTGGCTATGATTCAGAAGCGTGTCAGAATATCAGCGTACGGCTCAGGCTGACATTACAGATACAGTAGAAGAGCCGATGCTTCCTGGAATCCCCCCACCGGTCCCAGCCAGCTCCCCGCGAGC